GTTCAGAAATTTCTTGCTAATTTAAAAGTTGTTTTCTCAAATATAGAATATGTTGAATGAATTTTCCAAATGCATAAATATCATTAATTTCATGAAAATTACCAAAAATTTTATACTTTTTCCAATAAACATAAAATTTCCGTTTTTCTGTCTAAAAAATAAAAAAATTTTTTTTTCTTTCATTTTTTTTGTATTTATTTTACATGATAAATGATATTATCCAATGTTAATAATCCTCCAAATGATACCAGTTGTGAATGTAAAAAGCAACAGGCAATCGAAATTTGTTTAATACATTGAAAATAGTTGTTATCTTTAAATAAATAGTACTCTATTGAGGAGTTGGAAGATGGTAACCTTCTAAATAGTTGTGTAAAACATATATGAAAATCATCATAATCATTTAAGCATGAGATAACTAAAAAAAAATTAAATTTCTAATTGATAGGTGAATTGACAAAAACAAAACTAGGCCTACTAACATTTTTTTCTAACTGCCAATTCAACATCTTCTACATTCTCCTTCCTGTTTAGTAGTAGGATAATTTTTTATATGATTAAATAGAGAAAAAAAATTATCAAACCCTCTCTTTAATAATTCATCTTTCTTTATATTATAAAATTGATATATTGAAGTTGTTGTAAAGATAAATGGATTTACTACAGAATTAATAGGAATAAGGAATATAACAAGTAAAACTTTAGCGTTATTACGCAATGTCAATTCTTTTAGTGTTGATGAAAAAACTATTGACAAAAAAAAAAAAACAAAAAAGTTTACTTTTGTTTTTTTTAAAAAAAAAATGTTATATCAACCTAAAATTGAAAGTGGAAACCAACATAAAACATTTGTTAGTATAGCAAAAACAAATGATTTTTTAACAGTTCTATTCTTAATACTATTTTTCATTTTTAATGATTTAATAATTATTTTAATAGGATTAAATTAATTATTAAAGTTATTAAATTTATTAAAAATTCAAAAAAACCAAAAACAATAGTTGAAAATATCCATCCAGTAAAATTTTTACCACCAATTTGAATATTAAAACAAATTGAATATTGAGAATGATAATCCTGGAAAAAAAGAAAAGTTGCCTATTATAATCTATTTAAAGCAAAAGAACAAAAAATTGAAACTTTATATATGAAAACTGGTAAGAGACTTAGTAAACAACTAAGAATAATAATTAAAATTGATATTATTATTGAAAAATCTGAAAATCTTGAAATTTGAAATGGATTTTTTATCACTAAAATTCTGTCAATTGACATAAACAATAGGCTACAACTGGATATAAGTAAACCGGAAGTCATTAAAACACCGCAAAATTGGCATAAAATACTATTTTTCCAATACTTTTCATTCTCCAAATATCGTTCATTATAGTAAGAATCAACAATTGAAATCAAAATCATATAGACAGAGGTGAAACAATTTCCAATTGTTAAACTACACTTGTAAAATTTTCCTTTAAACTTTGAAAATATAATGACAAATAATGAAAATATATTGGCAATATTCCCAATTAATCCACAACCCCAAAACATATATTTCAATAAATTTGAACTTAAAATATTTGAACATGTACTAAATAGTGAAGTAGAAGGTTGACATTTTACAAAATTGCCTATTACTTTCCAAATTTTACAACAAATACGAAAATTATTTGCGTAGAAAATTTTTAAATTTGTCATTTTTTGAAAAGGAAACTCAATATTAAAAGAATATTTTGAATGTTGAAAATTCAATTCAAATAAACTTTCTAAAAACTTTGCATTGTTTAATTCAATTTTTTTTATATTGCAATGTTTAACTCTAAACACTTTTATATGAGTTGTGCCATTAAAATGGTGATTTAATAATACTGAAATTTTTGTATATGAAATATCCAAGTATAGCAGAAATTTACTAAACAGACTATTTAATTCTTGAATTGAATAAATTGGATTATGGGATACGTCAAGATATTGTAAAAGATTATTATGATATTTATCTATGATGAAATTCAAGTTTGTAATGTTATTCATTTTTAAAGAAAGGAAAACCAGATTTGGAATTGATAATTTATGATTTTGCAACCGGAAGTTGTTTTCAATTTTTAAAATAATTAAATTAATTAATCTATTTTTATTTTTTATATTGAAATTTCCATAAATGTTGACTCTTTTGAAAAAATCAGTTAAAAAAATTTCTGGGACAACACTTAGTTTATTTTTGTTTTCTTTTGTTTGTAAAAGTTGACATTCCAATTCAAAAGGCAACAATTGTAAACAATTTTTAGGTAATTCTGATTCATTTCCACAAAAAATTTCATCGCTTCCAAGCCGACAATCAACGATACCGTCACAAATCCTTGATATTTCTAGAAAATAACTCTGATTTTGACATTTGAAATAACCATAAAAATGTAAGTTTTCTTAAAAAAATTATATTTCACATTGGTTTGTTTTGATTGATTTTTTTTATCTACCGCAACTAGTTTCGTCATCTTTTAAAAAACAATGATTAATTCCATCGCAAAGCAACTCAATTGAAATGCAAAATTCTTGAAATATACATTTATAGAAACCAATTTTACAGGTTTTATTTTCTGTTAGGGCAAATCTATAAATATTTGGAATTTTAACATAAACATTTCCAAAAGAGCTATAATGAAAATCTCTATCTGTATAAGAATTTGGATGGATTAAGTTTTTGCAAATATCTTCCTGTTCATCTCCTGAAGAAATACAATTCTGGATTTGGTCACAAACTATAGTTCTTGGGAAACACTCTTCATTGCATTTATACTGGTTTACCGGATTACAGTCTGGAAGAAGGGAAATATTTGAGTCAAAT